AAAAGTGCAAACAGGACGATGCCTCAATGGAGAGGGGTGCCAGGGTTTAATATTCTAGAACACATCTACAGGAAGGAGCCTGACAGAACCATAAACCACCCCTACAAGATGATAGTGAAGCCAAGGTAGGAGGACTGCTCATACTACTTAATGAAGTTGCAAAAATGTTATCTTATATATACTTTGAGAAAAACTGTTTAAAACCATTAAGTAGCAGTAATATGATCCTATGTAAATATGTGGTTGGCGATGTGTGAATGTTTATGTGCACCACAGGGCAGTGGAGCAGACCTCAGTACATGATGTCCTTAAGATGTTTGGTCAAAAGTTCAAGGTTCCACTGGACATCTGTCGGATCATTCACAGCCCAATCAGTATGCCGCGTCAACCATTACTGGAGCAGCTGCATGTGGACACCCGACTGTGGGACTTCAAAGACAGAATGTTGCCCAATGTGATCACGGTGCTGAGGAGAGCGGGGCTGCTGAAATCAGAGGAGTAGAGCTAATGCAAAGGACTGACAAACACTCAGATACACAGGCACAACAGTGTAACAGTGAATGTGCGCTCAGAGCAGCAGGACATTTAAAAATACATTTGTACTATTTAGGCTGGAAAACGAGTGGATGACATGTTGGTCTTGTAACAGTATTTTTGAGGTAAGACTGAAAAAAATCTCATATTAGCCCCTTTTTAAGATTGGCCTCTGTGTGTTGTCATCTCTACAGCCAAAACAGCACACATCCAGTTGGTCTTGTAACAATAATTCTTAAGATGAGATCTCAAAAATGTTTCATTTATTTCTCCAAACCACTATGAGGTCAGACTGAAGCCAACATGAAAGTATGGCTTATTGCTCCTGTCTCTTAATATTTACTCCACACACAGTTGTATTAGAGTCACTAAACCTCGATTCCGAGTCAAGTCTCGAGTCCCCAGTGTTCAAGCCTGTGGCAAGTCACCAAACAATAATTTGAGTTCGAATCAAGTCCCAGTTACTCGACTCAGAGTCATTAAGGTCTACATTAAACACAAATGACACAACTCTATTGCGTCACCATATTGCACCGCAATTTGATTTCTAGAAAGGTGGAGTGTAGGCATCAATAGAAGTGTGCTGGATACAACACAGTGCTCATCCAAATACAGTCAATGCTTGAGTCTAAGTCATCGGTGCTCCAGTCTAATTTGAGTAACAAGTCCTAAAAATCTGGACTTCAGTCGACTCAAGTCCAAGTCCTGGACTCAAGTACTAAACGCTGACTCCAGAACGAAAAATCTCAAATTAGGGGGGCTTACATTCATTTTTCTATTCTACTTATATTTCTTTCTAGGTGTTTTACTTATAATCTAACTTCCTTTGCTGCAACTGTAAAACCAGGACTCTCCCTCTGGGAATAGTAAAGTGCCGGGGACTTTTTTCCCTTTTCTTTTGATAATGAAGGTCATTCAGAGCTTAGCAAAACAAACATTTATTTAACCAGACAGCTGGCCGACCAGAAATATTAGCTGTAGCTGCCAAATTTCTGTTGGAGACATGCTGCTATTTGAGACTCTGCATTTATGGCAACAATATGTAACTTTTTATATTAAAACAACATCTTTATAATCATTTTGATGGGAGAGTGACTTCTAATAAGGTGAATGGTGTCTGTTATTGCAGTGGTCCCCAACCTTTTTATCACTGCGGACCGGTCAACGCTTGACAATTTTTTTGGCGCTCAAGTGACCGAGATGTAACCGAGAGAATGCGGTCATTTTTCAAAATAAAAGATCGTTCAGACTCAGATAATAAATAAAACGGAAATAATTAATAATTTCTTGTACGGCCCGGTACCAATTGATCCACGGACCGGTACCGGTCCGCGGCCCGGGGGTTGGGGACCACTGTACTATAGGACACCACAGGAACTATATAGAATATACAGTAATAAATAGTGTGTTCATACAAAAGAGAAATGCTATATGTGGTAAAGTAATAAAGTGACACCAGTAGTTATCCTATACAGTATATGATGGGATAATATTACAACTAAGGTACAATATAATACACAGTGATAAATAATAACGAAGTATATAGTATAATTTCTACACTCTCAAAACCAATATTGGTATAGTCTTTAAAACTCTGGTGTACATTAGGCTCTAACTCTGTTTCTTGCCCATTTGACCAGTTTGTGAGCAGAGGAGCCTGGTCTTTTCTTCTAAACTCACAGAAAACAGGAATTAGTAGCACTTGACAGTATACAAGGTTTGGCAGGCGAGTGTAGCAGGGCACACACCGCACCAGCACGCAGTGACTACATCACTTCGAGGGTGGTTTTTGGATGTGAGGTTGGAGAGCTCACATCTAAAAGATATTTCTCCAAACCACTATGAGGTCAATCTGAATCCAAAATGAAAGTATGGCTTATTTCTGCTGTCTCTCAATATTTACTCCAGCCATTGTTGTAGTAGAGTCACTAAACCTCAATTCCAAGTCAAGTGTCGAGACCCCAGTGTTCGAGCCTGAGGCAAGTCTGAGTCACCAAACAATAATTTGATTCCGAGTCAAGTCCCCGTTACTCAAGTCAGAGTCATTAAGGTCTACATTAAACACAAAGCTCTCACCATTTTATATTCCAAACTTTATAACAGTGTATTGCGTCACCATATTGCTCAGCAATTTGATACATAAAAATAATTTATATAAAGGTGGAGTGTAGGCATTGATGGAAGTGTGCTGGATACAGCACAGTGCTTGTCCAAATAGAGTCTGCCCGAGTTCAAGTCCAAGTCATCGGTGCTCAAGTCCTAAAAACCTGAGTCCAGGACTCAAATATTAAACACTGACTCTCGAACAAAAAATCTCAAATTAGCCTCTTTTTAAGTTTCAAAGGAGATCTCATCAAGCTCCAAAACAATTCTTAGATTTTCTGAACCTTTGTGCCTCTTTCTTATCTTAGAGAAATATTCTCTTTTGTTCTGTGTTGAAGCAGTGAACCTGTTTATTATTTCACCCTGAACCATATTTAATTAGTTGTGTATACTTACTTTCACATGCCGCCTTAAGTGTAACAGCTGGTGCAGTTCATTCGCTGCACTCTTGTTGCATTATTGTGTTGTCCTGCCAATCGCATGGTTTTCTGTGGCTCAGCCAAAATAAAAGGGTGCTGGTAAAGATAAAGCAACTCTGTCATCATTTCCTACCAACCCAATATATCAATATAAATGCGCGTATGTATATGCATAAACTCACATATTGCTCCATGGTTGCTTTAGTATTGCTCAATTTGTTCTCCAAAGGAGAAAAAAGGAACCGATATTAACACAAGTTTAACAAGGTATGTTCCTTATGTCTCATGAATGAATCCTTTCACAATCACAATTTTGTCTCCTGAGCTTTAGAAGAGCTAACTTTGAGCACTAAAATGTTCCTCAACTTTCACTTTTACGGTCAAACCTTGTATCCTGGCTGACCTTTGCACTTCTGTCTCTGGAGGTGTTCCATCACTCAGGAGATCCTGTGGACCTGAACTCAAATTACACATGAATATTAGTCAGGGCTATTTGATTGCCCTCTATATTTAAGCAGGGTTTAGAGATAAGTTAAGTTGTGTACTGAAAAAACTTAGACTAGATTTCTAGGTCGAAGACGTTTCAACTCTCATCCAAGAGGCTTCATCAGTTCTGACTGACTGGTGCTGAGCCGGAGATAAATTGTGTAATTTTACAATAATTCACAGAATCTAATATACACTGGAGAGAGTTAGTTCAAGAGATTAGAAACTTCCAGTGTAGGACATGACCCTGTTCAAAGCTAAAGCAATGATGAGAAGACCTACTGTAGAGGCTGGGTTCCCAAACTTTTTCACCTTTAGAACCAAAAGAGAAATTTGGTGTCTCCTCAGGATCCAAACATACAAAAATACATCATACATTGCCACACCATCTACCATACATTTATAAAGAGTAGTAGTAAAAACTGGCATCCACAACAATCCTCTAATTAACATTAGTCAAGGCCCAGATGTAAATTTCTGATATTCTGAAACAG